CTCGACAGTCCATCCGTAAGCTTGTTCGTCTCTGAAAACAGATCAGACGTGAAGGTTTACTATCACAATAGCCTAAAAACATTCAACTTTACACCAACACTGACAAACAGTGAAACCAGCGAATTTGGAAACGACCATTTTGACTATCATGCTAACTTTAACGTTAGCTCTTTAGCACTCCACCTATGTCAAACAATAACGGACAAGAGCGTAAAACTCACAATTTAAAGATTCATTTTCGATAATTTTATGGTCCAACAATTTCCATGGAGAAAATGTTTTATTCAAGTTAAAATACAAACCTCTATTTCCTCCGAAACCTCAAAAATCTTTTTTGCTTCGCATTCAAACAGCGACGTGGAAGCAGAGAATTTCACAAATAATTCAAATCTGCTGCGCTGCGTGTCACGTGACTCATAGATGCGCCACTATTGGTTTAAAGACTATGACGGAGTCTCCGGTGGCGTCGTGGGGATTGTAGTCAAAAGCTAGCTAAAACTTGTTTCTGAACAATTTCCATTTACCATCTATGATTTTGTTTGATTTAAATTCGATTTTAAAAATTAGTATCCCAACAAAACAGCTCATATGAAAGTAATACAAATGTAATAAAAGTTTAAAAAATGACTCTTACCAGTTAAATTCGTTCATCTTTGTATATTTTTAAAGATTTAAAGATGTCCATGCATTGAATAAAATGTAGATTAAAAATGCAATTCTTTTACAGTTCTTTCATTACAAGTTCTACGGTATTCATTGGACTGCTACATAACATGTAATGGTACTCTACTGCTTTTTAAATAGAATAATAGATTACAATAATAAAATCTGTGGATGAAGACTCTCTCTTCTAAATTTGGTCTGCTAGAACCACTCACATATAGACCACAGTGATTCAAATAACCACTGCTTACAACCAAGGTGTCCAAAAGAACATCTCTGAACACAACACACACAGAAACTTGAAGCAGATGGGCTACAGCACCAAAGCACCATAGGGACCGCTCCTTTCACTTAGAACAGGAAAGTGAGGCTCATACACATGGGCTTGCCAAAAGATAAGATAAGATAAGATAAGATAAGATAAGATAAGATAAGATAAGATAAGATAAGATAAGACTTTATTGATCCCACAACGGGGAAATTTTTGCGTCACCTCAGCTCAGGTACAGATATATGAAGGAAATACAAAAATACAATTAAGTACAATCAATGAAAAAAAGTAAGATAATATACTATATACAATGGTAGCATACACAGTATGTGATTATGGATATAGTTGGAAATATGGAAGACATAAACTATATAGCTTGGAAGCTCATGGAAGGTCCATTATGCATGTCAGGTGAGTGTCAATTTCTGTGGTGACAGAAGGTGCTAGTGTAAGAACCACAACATGAAAGCATAGATCCATCCTGGCTTGTATAAATGATTCTTGTTGGTCATGTATTGGTGTGAGGGAAATTTTCCTGGCACACTTTGGGCTCCTTAATGAGCCTCGTTTAAAAACCACAGCCAGCATCCAGCCTCAAGCAGGACTGACCGGATCTGCAAAGAGTAGTGCGCTCAGCCGAACGCATCATTCTATCAGAGCTTCCTGACCTGCTGTCCATCTGCACCAAGTGGTGAAAGACTAAAGCCAGGAAGATTATGATGGACCTCTCGCATCCCAACAATGGACTCTTCTCAGTGTTGAGGTCTGGGAAGTGCTTTTGCTCCCTTAAGGCCAAAACGGAGAGAATGAGGAGGAGCTTCTTTCCCCAGGTTATTCGGGTCCTGAACCAGGTGTAGGACTGGACTCTCTCACACACATCACATCATCAAACGCACTGTTTGTTTGTTTGTTTTTTTGCACACTTCTTAAAATTTATAATTTATTTTTATTCATAATTTCTTTGGTAAACTGTTATTTGCATATTTTTACTGTAAATTACTAAGAATTTACTGTAAGTTAAAATCTGTAAATTTTGTAGTAATCTGTAAATCTTACTGTCAGTTCTTACTGTCATTTACTGGTTGGGCATTGGACAGCAATAAGCATTTCTCCACATGTCATACTGTGTATGGTTGTGTGTGTGACAAATAAAATTTGAATTTGAACAGCCTACCTGAGTTTTGTTGCTGACATACTGAAGCCCACATTTTCCTGACAAATGTAGCACCATGTAAGGGGAAATAAACAGGCTCTCCTGTATAAGAATAACAAGAATAAACAAGAAGCAACAAAGAAATAATTTTACTGTTTGTGGTAAGTTTATATTGAACAGCTGCAATAAGCTGAAGTTCTTAGACGTAAGAGCATATCGGAAAACACATTTCAGTCACTGTTTAAAGAGCAAGAGTTGTGCTGTAGCTAAATGTATTACCATTAGTGTCCACGATGACTTTGAAAACAGAATGCACTGGAAATGTACGTACATGAAAATTATACAGAGTATAAAACCATACAGAACTATTATCTCTGTAAAATTGTTTTATTTTTAGGCTATCTTTTCTTTTACAGTGAAAGTCTAGAGTTATGCATCTGATCAATATACTTTAAAGTTAAATTAAATGAAAAGTGACTGGTATCGGACTATTATGTACACTTGTGGCCTTTTAAAAAAAATATCTGTGGTAAGCCAATATATTAGAGCAAAACATTTCTGGCACAACTTCACCTACTTCCAAGGTGGAGGGAGATAAAAGTTGTATCAGTTGTTCATCTTCCCTTAAGTGTTGCTGGAGTTCCTGCATTGTGAAGCCGATATATTAGGCACAAATGTGATGCCACCTAAAGCATGATGCAGGTACTGCACTAAAAAGCCACACACTGTTAAGGTACCATATTTGATTTTACTTAAACACATGTACATCACATTTCAACAATAGAAATTACACAATTTAAAAAACATTACACCTATCCATACAAGAAACCATTTTATAAAAACCTCAAATCCAAAAGACACAAAAGGAGGAGAGAAAAATGTTCACAGTGACGTCAACAAGGCAAAAATCAAACCCGAGCAAAAACAGGACACACTGAAAGAAAGTCAGGAAACTATTTTTAAAGAGTACTTGGCTGAGGCATGATGGTATTAGCAAGTGGCATCCAAAATAAAAAAAAATAAAAAACCCACAAAAGAAAAAACATTTGGAAATTAAAGTGAGATCAAACTAAAGTAAGTGAAGCTGTCTACTTCATGTGCAATTTTATTTTTTAAAATTTGTCAGAATTTATATTTAAAAGAACATCTTATTTTGGAGAGTTTATTTTTTGCCAATGAATTATTTCAGATTAAAGTTTTTTTTAATAAGACATAAAAAAAACGAAACAAAAACACCACAATCAAAAGCCATAAATCTGAATATTAAATAAAATGGACATCAATTTGGGATTCAAACTTTTAATTGAACATGTAAAATACAAAACAAAAAAATAAAAATCAAAAAATTCAACCCAAAATAAAAAAAAAATACAAAATGTTAGTCTGAAGTTTTAAGTCACTTACAACAGATTACAAAAAACAGACATTCTCAACCCCCCCCCCCCAAATAAAGTTATCAGATAATAGAAATGAAAGAAAAAAGTGCTTTTTTTAGTGCTTTAGTTGATTCTTCTTTAAGCTTGATGGAAATCGAATGACAAACAAATACAAAAATGTAGCATTTGTAGTTCCCTGTGGGATTTTGTTTCGTGGCTCATTAATTGTAAAACAGAAAGCATAAACTGCTAAACTGGCATTAGCTTTAGCCACTTAGCTTCTGGCTAAGTCAAACAAAGCTTAAGAAAAAGACTAACTCTGTGGTTTACACTAAATTCCATGTGTCAAAGACTGCTCACATAACTGCTGAACATTGATACAGAATACAAACACTTTACACCAACATATTAACTGTAAGGCTTAGTTGCAATAGTACAATACAAAGTCATATGATGATACTGTTTACAAATCCCTGAAGACACCAATGTATAATAATGAGGTTTAAACACATTTGTTTGCCAGCGGTTTAATACACAGTCATGAAACCCTCCACCTAAGTTTGCATCGCAAGCTATAAAGACACTATTTAACAATAGTATCAGTTTCTCTTAACATTTGAAGATTTGAACTGTCAGCAAGAGACTTGATGGACCTTTTGCTGTTCTTTTATACAATTAGACAATATTGAGTCAGAATCAGAACAAGATTAAAAACTACTTTTTTAATTTTCTGTTTCCTCTCTTCATAATTTGCCTGCAGACAGACTAACATCAGTCAGTGTTTATAAGTCAGATTAATATGTTTGGTTGTGAGTAAAGGCCAAATTAAGTCTACCACTAAGATTAACTGTATAGTCATTAGAAAACAGTAAAATACATCCAGTCCAGTTTCTCAAGAGTGCACAGTGTCATTTGTTTTAAACATTGTGTTTTGTCTGATTAACAGTTCAAAGCCTGAAAATGTTCAGATTACATCGATAAAGACACAGAAAAGCAAGAAATTAATATATTGGGAAAGCTGCAGGCAGAGAATAACTGTTCTTATTAATTGACTAGCGAATTAAATTATTATTCAATTTTCTTTAGCACAAAAACAAAATGTAGTTAAGTTTCCAGTTTAATTTGCTGCTACTAAAGTAAACTAAAGCCTGCAATCGGTCATGTGACAAACCTGAACCAATAAACTGCAGGTAAAAGTAGCTGTGGGAGTAAAAGTAAGCTTTATAAAACTTCTTCTTCTACAGGCTTTTACTATGTGAACCAAAAACGTCCAGTAGATTTTTCACAATAAAAGCCTAAAAACTATGGGAGGGATTGAACCCTTTGAGCTATCAAGAGGCTTTTAATTTAATATCAAGTCTGCGCACGTGAAATGCTGAGATGTTTATCAGAGATGAAAAAACAGAGACGCAATTCTTGTAAATGTTTTTTTCAGTAAACTAACCCTTAGAGAGGATGTAAAGTGCTCTCATTTGTGGATGGTATTGTTAATTTGTTATCAGAAACAGTGATTGATAACAGACTGTCTGATTCTGACAAAAAAAAAAAAAAACAGTGATTAGTTGGAATCAGCTGATTTAATATCAATCACTAAAATACTATCACTGAATTACTTTCATGGGTGACTGATGGGGGAAGACCAGCAGCTCAAACTGAAGTCAGCAGCCATCTAAGAACCTTCAGGTGCTTGTGTTTAAGGCAGCCATCGCAAAGGTCTTACTATGTCTCAGGGTTGATAGCTGTAGCCTTAGTAATGATCTTCGTGTACTGAGTGTAGATGGCTTCAAATGCCTCGTCTCTGTGCATCATTGCGCCGAAGACCATAGGCTGCAAGAGAACAGAGGAACATTAGAACCAGGCTCAACACAAAAAGAAAACAGAGCCACACTTGTTACACATCAGTGTAACAAATGCATACTGTATAGAAATCTGTTAAAGTATTTAGAGTACATCACTTCTCATACTTATTAGTGGTACTTTTTCTTGTCAGAGTGTATTCTTACATCTGTGAAATGCTTCTTATAAATGAGTAAAAACAATTTTAGTTTCTTTGCTATTCTGAACTGAGCTCTTACTTTTTGGGTGGATGGTGTCGCAATGGAGATCCCCATCCCAGACCCAGGCAGCACTGACAAAACTTTGTACTGTGAGAAACAACAGAGCAGATCAGAGCAAATTCAGACCAATGCAAGGGAAACACATGTGCAAGAAGAGCAGACACGTTAGAAAGGTTTTAAATATCTGATGTTAGAAAGTAAAAGACTGTTTCCTGAATAAATGAAAACAAAAGCAGCTTCAGTACCTGCAGCACTTTTTGTTTCAGGTTTTTACTCCATTAAGACTTTTCTAAGAACTAACACTGCAGTGTAGTGAAATGACATGTCTGCTTTCTTTTTATTTTATTAATTAATTAACAATTTAATCTAATCAAAGACACTCAAATGTTTACACAGGCTAGTTACAGTGGCTTCAAAAACACAAGCTAATCAGGAAATGACATCACAAAGTAATCTAACTGAATATTATAAACCTGGGACGCATCAACAATATTTCTAAAGTGAACATTTACCTTCTGGATGTCAGTAATGTCGAGCAGTTTGATGACTTTGTTCCTCTTTGAGGACCCGGACCTGGAGCTGGAGCTCTCGAAACACAGGTAACTGTAAAGACAGCAGAGACTCTGTTACCTCCCGCTCCTACAACGCTCTGCAATGGTGATTATAAGAGATTATAAGCACTCAGAACATTTATGGCACCCATCCACCGAGGATCAGCAACACACCCTAATGGAAACTTGCATACTGCTACCCGATAAGCCAAACATAAGAATAGCCCAGCTCTTTCATCAGACACCCTGGCAGTTTATTTTCTTCTCAGAAGTCTGAAGTAACTACTGTTCATTATTTATGGTCTTTATTATCCTGCATCTCTCACACCAAACCGTAGTTGTTCGGGGAGAGACCCTTCAGTGTTGGTACTCCTACACTCTGAAGCCCTTTCCTCTGAGATCATTTTCAAACAGAAGTTTACTTGTCACCTATTTACCGAAGCCTTTGGCTAATAATCTTTTTAACCTTTAACTTTTCAGGTAAAGCAACCTTAGGCTTTCAAACTTTATGTATAAATGTAAAAGTGTCATATGAAATACTTTAGTAAACGCAAGTTTACTGTTTGAATGTTCATACAAAGACAGAACCAAAAATGCTGCAGAGGCTGCGCGATGTCAGAAAACAAATACGGGACAAATAAATGACGTACTCAACATGTTATCGCTCGCTCTGCTTATTACTACAGGTGCCAAACTTATTGGAGGAAACATTCTGTGTGATAAACAGATGTGACACAGTGTCTCTCTGCTCATTCTGTCAGATGACTTACTTCTCGGTGACATAAAGCACTCCGTTGCGGATGTAGTCTGTCGGTGTCTTCCTGTCTCTGTTGATGAGGCAGCAGCGCCAGCCAGTCTCACACACTGAAACAATCATTACAATTAAAATATTACTGGTAAGAAAACAGTCGACATCTAAAGTCCTTTCTATTAAACTGCATTAGCAAATAGATAATTCCGTTTTAGATTCTTTTATGCATCTGTAAAACAATTTTTTGTCCTTTTCAAGTAGAGTGTACATAAACGTCAAATTTATCTGTTTAAATTTACAATAAAATAATAATATGTGCAAAAAATGAAGGGTGTGAATCCTTTCTGAATCTACTGCATATTATAAGACCCACAAAGAATGATGGGCCAACACTTCAGACTGAGTTGGAAGGATTCATCTATTTTTTCCTGTAGTTCCTTTCTCACCTGTCAGAGGGCGCTCACTCTCTGGCAGGTTAAACACCTCATGAAAAGCTCCTCTCTTGGTGCTGTAGTATCGCCCTCCATCCTCATCCCGACTGACACCCACAGGAGCTGCTGCGGTGAGGCTGCCTCGGCCCCCAGCAGCTATCACCTGAGCAGGTAGACAGAAGCAGGTACACAATTTGCTAATCACTACAAGTAGCAGTGTCTGAAGCATCCCCGCAGTCAGATGTATAATCCAGTGCAAAATCATTCCTTACTTTACATTTTTCTTCTAGTAAGACAGACTTTCTTGTAGCTTTTAAATTGGTTTTGAGCAACAGTTCTTTTCAGATTTTTCTTTGGACACTGCCTGCTTTTTACTCAGTCTCAGAGCAGTCCTGGTACATGATCTTTTTCACTGGAATGTGTTTCAGCTCACCTGATGCGGTCCTCCAATACTGCTACAAATTTTTTATAAGGATACTTCAGTTCAGCCTGGAGGTAAAACGAGCACGTTTCCACTCAAAAACAGAAAATTGAAGGCTCTGAATTGAATCTGAATGAAAATTCTGCCAAATCGAAGAACTTAACCATAAATTGTCCAGTTAGATATTAGCTTCTCGCAGAGGTATCAGTATCTTTGACATGCAAGCATAAATATCTAATCTGCTGTTCTTTACAGCAGGAAACCTTCTACTGACCTTTACTGTAATCATCACACAGGACCAGAGCTTTTAAATGTTTTAAGCTGCTGCATCACCCATACTCCCCCCAAAAATGTACTCAGGTATGCTGGAAGGTAGGCTGAAATTCAGTGTACGTGCAGCTCAAGACATTAGTTGGGAACAAACATTAACTGTGTCTGTTAACACTGGGTAGGATACATCCGTCAGCAACATTAAAAACCCCTGTCTAACATTTTTAGGATCTAGTTAAAAAACCCCAGCTGTGATAAGTTGGAGCATGAGATGCTGCCAGAGGATTTGGTCGTGTCAGAAGCGTAAGCAGAGCGCCCATGGGAAGGTCACAACTCAGCTGAACAGCTCATTTTAACCTCTTAACATCTACCAGGTCATCCACAGCCTGTCTGGGGTTAAATTTTGGGGGGTGGAATATTTACCCAATTTGTTTTGCCAAGTAGAAATGCTCTAACAGAGGATCTATAGCAGTTTAAATACTCTGGATTTGAAATGTAACATCTTCAACTTTCTTTAGCACGTGGCTTAAATACTCCAAAATGCTAACCGTCCCCCAGTGAGCTTTGCTGGTGACTTGGTGTTTGTTAAGCAGTTAACAAGATGATCAATCATTATCTCACCTGTCACTGCTTTTAATATTGAGGCTGGTTGACATACATTGTTTTCATCTAATCTCTCATTTTATGGGATGTAGTAACTATTTTACACTTAGAAAAAGAAGACAACAAAACTTTATTCATTCTTACCTGAACTTTGGCATTAGATCTTACTTGGAGGTAAATCACAACATTTGTGCCAGATCTACATTTGTTAAAAGGGTGAAGCTAAAGGAAAGGTCACAGGGTCATCTGAATATAAAGTGGGAAAATCTGACTCGTACGCCAGGTGTAGTGTTACGATTCGGGACGTCCCACTCTAAGAGGATTTTAACCAGATAGACCAACACTTCAGCAGCTGATTGGTTACAGCCAGTGATGTCAGTCAAAATATCTGATCACAACTCTCACCACAGCACACACTATGGGCCTCTACACTGTGATTGTAAATATAACACACACACACACACTCAGCGCACAATCCTACCTGTTCACATTCAGACAGCTGGGAGAGAAAAATACAACCAGACCAGTAAGAACCAGTAACAAGCTGATCCAGTCTGTGCTGGTTTTTCCAGCCTATGATCTCACTACTGCAGGGTTTGTTCCTTTATGTCATGTAACTGACACAGACTAACATCAGCCCGGTGCTGAGATCTCTGAGCTCCGTGTGTAGATGTATGCAGGAGTTTGGACTCACTCGTCGGCCCAGCATAGTGTTGCTGCGCTCTTTCAGCTGCAGGTCGGTGGGTAAATTTGTCCAGATGATGTAGGGGGTGTCATAGCGCTGCCTCAGCTTGGGACAACTCTTAAAGATGAAGTCAATGATGAAGAACTTGATACCTGCGTATACACCTGAGGATTAAAGAGCAAAAATCTTTTATAGTGCATATACTGGACAAAAAAAAGTTGAATATGAAGCTGCTAAGCAAGATGCAAAGAGGAAGAAGAAGATTCATGGATGTATTGAAGGAGGAAATGCAGAATGGTGCTGTGGCTAAAAAGGATGCTAGAGACAGGAGAGGACAGAGGCACACAATCTGCTGTGATGACCCCTAAAGGGACTCACCACAGCCATCCCACCCATCCCCAGCAGAAACGTTCATTTCCATCAAAACTATAAGGTTCCTTCAAAATGAGCATTCATCTACATTGTTGGACTTAATAGACACTTGTTTGAAATCTTTATCACAGGTCTGCATGCCTTTTTAACAGGCAGTAATCAAGAAGATTCACAGGAACATCTGGCCTGTTATATATAGCTGTTTTCACAAGTGTACTGGATTCCTCACCTTTTATAGTGCACATGTGAACACAGATATCTGATGCACCCTTACACCCTTTGTGTGATGTTGGATTGTGCTGATGTGTGAATAGCACAGCTAATATTTCAGTGTATTCTCTGCTAGTGAGTGGGCACCATATGTGTTGCCTACTGCACACCATCTCCTAACCACACTCAGTGTTTCCAATTGTGTCATGATCTTTGAAGGGGACTATTTGCTGTTGTAATTATATATCGTTAGATTATGAAAGTTCTGAACTTTCAAATAATGTCACCTTGTCCCCAAGGAGCTCATCAAAAAGCAATCAAAAAAGCTTAATATTAGCTGCAGCCCTATATTCAGTGAATTTATGAAGGTATGACTGGAGCCAAACTTTGGACATAACATTAATGTTCAGCGCTCACACAGCTGTCGTGTTTTTAGACATGTGCACAGACAGAATATCTTTTCTCATCCATTCCTTTAGTGGATGATATATATTCTTTCATTCTGATATTTACTGAGAACAAGTGATTTAAATTTCAATAAGGGGGGAAATGGAGAGCACAGAAGGTGATCAACTTTTTACTTATTTATTTTACCTATGATGAATCCCAGCAGTTTGTACGGGAGCAGGCATGAAGAGATGAAGGCCAACCACAGACCAACGTACAGCTTCTGAGTCAGCTCCGGCTGAACCCACATGAACAGACTGCACACACACACACACACACACACACACACACACACACACACATTATAAAGAAGCATTGTAAATGGATCACCGGTTCTTTCTGAGCTGAAACATGAAACTGTGTGTAGAAAAGCTTACTTCTTTATTTTCTCCAGGATGTTGGCCATCCTTCCAAACAGATTCTGTAAGGACATAACAATAATAATTAAATATGTCAAAAAGAACCACTTGTGACCTTAGACCTCTCACTGTCCATCACATTTCACCTGAGCTTTCTGAGCGACATCCAGGACCAGCTGGAACTTCTCAGACACAGTCAGGTCTTCCTTAGGAGGCTCCTGAAAAAACAAAATGAGAATCCCGAATATCTGTTTTTAAAGAACTTAACAGTTTCCATTTGGGACATCAGGACAGTTTTATGCGAGTCATTTCATAATAAAATATTTAGTAATGAATATGAGGAGGCCAGAATAAAGAGAGATTTCTCACCACTGGCTCTGAAACTTCAGGTACAATGCTCCACTGGATCCTCCAGCCTCTAAGAGCAGGAATCATGAGAAAATATGAGCTATATAATAAATATAATGAACTTCATTGCCTTGTATGCCCTTAAATGTGTCTTGTTGTATCAAGACACATTTAAGGGTCCCTCATCGGACCACTGTAATCAGATATTCAACAAAATTCTGCAGTAAACTTTTGCTCATATTGAACAGCTCTGATCCAGTCATCTGAATATCAAGCGACTGGCACTTTAACGATTTCAGATTCTTACAATGGTCAGTCTGTTGACTTTAAGAGCCAACTGTTCACTTAACACATAATTCATGACCCTGACATATGAATACACTGATAAGATAAGAAAAAAAAAGTACGTAAAAAGATGCTAACTACTGAATTTGCACTAGATTTGGCACGGCACGACTACATGCGTCTTAATTTGAAGAATCTACTGAAGCCATTTTTTTAGTAACTCTAAAAGTAAATAACATATTTGTCCAACAAGTTAAAACAACAAAAACACCACAGACAAGGGAACAAGTATTCCTGATAAACCTTACCTACACGAACTTGGTACTGAACCTTGACCTGGTTTAAAACTGTTGCCTTTTCTCTGGTTCTGATAAAAGCGGTGTGACTAACTTAGAGAGAGCAAAGGTTACACTAACTTGGCAATGAGGTAATTCAAGGACAGGCGGAGAATGGCGAGGAACAGGATCATGGGGATGACCCATCCATTCCACGCCACATACATGTAGACCTGTGGAGATCACATAGGTGTAAACACATTTAGTTTTGAATCAGTCTGTCTACTTGTGTTATATCTGTTGTGACTGGTGGATCCAATCTATGTTTAAAAGAATTGACTGTTGACCACCTGAACTCTGTGTGTGTGTGTGTGTGTGTGTGTGTGTGAACTCACAATGAAGGCAATGGCTGATGTGTAGATGGAGTACCAGCTGGATAAGGCAGAAAGGTTCCTCATGAAATTGGTAACGGGTCTAAATCCTCGTTCTGGAAAGTAGACAAACTGACATCAGCTGACTTAATCATGACAAAGAAAACATCAGCTCTATAAATGCATAAACGTATTTGAATGTTTATGCATTTGGCTTGGGTTTAGTATATCTGATGTCCTGGTGATGTGAATGGGATGCGTGGCTAACAAGGAGATGCAGTCTGTCTCAAACCCAAACTCATTAATGACTATCACATATTAAATGTCCCCTTCTGTTTCCTTATTTGCTCTGTGGAGCACATTTTGAGAATTCCCTTGAATTTAAACGTTTTAACTTCTTACATAGTTATGAAATAACAACAGGGTATATCTATGCAAATGTTCCATTATCCTTGAGCTACTGAAAACTAAATGACTCTAACAATGACTACACTGCTGCCTAATCAGTTAATGCAATAGTTTTAACCCCTTGAATCTAATCTCTTCAGTTAAATTTTTATATTTAACGTAGTGATGTTCTGTGGGACGTACAATATTGTCTACTTATTGCATATGGTCTAATGAACTATTTTACCGTATCCCACAAAGATCTATTCTTGGCCCTCCACTGTTTCACTTGCTCATGCTTCTGTTTATAGCAAATACATGACCTGTTACTGTAGTACTATTGCACACTATACCCAGCAGTGCAGCTCACTGTCTTCAAACAATGTTGCATATTACATTTGGTAAAAAAAACAAAACAAGCAAACTTACTGAGCCGTCTCATGTTTTCAGTCAACCTGTGATTATAAAAAAGATAACATGATAAAGAACACAGTGAAAACCTATGTGGCTATAATAACTCCACAGCAGACCTGATCCGATTTTCATACTTTTCAGTAGCTTTATTGTTAAGGTTGCAGTTTTACAATTACAAATATAAAAGGTTTCAGATGTGTTTGCATGGCTGGAAAAACTGTGTGGATTAAGTGATAAGTTCTTGAAAAGCTCAGCACTGCAGTGTGTGTGTGTGTGTGTGTGTCTGTGTGAGTGTTTAAAGATGTAATTTTTTAAGTTAATATATAATAAAAATGTCAGTTCAAACAATGTCAGTTTTCAGTTTTCTACCGTTACAGTTCTGCTAACACACAGAAGTCTGTCACAGACAGTTTCAGAATGTTTTCTGACCTTTTGGCACTCAGTGGTTCCTCCGTCTCCACTGTCGTCTCCTCTGGTTGGAAGCGGAAGTCTTCGATATAAACACCAAATCGATCATAAAGCCATTTCAATAAGGTGTCAACCAGAGTCTCCTTCTGTTTGTCTGAGAAGGGGAAACAAGGCAATTGTGATAATAATTAAAGGACCATTCAATTAATTCTGTTTCTTTTCACGTCAAACAAAGGTGAAAAGATGGAACATCTGCAAAAAGTGAAAGAGCACAGATCAGCCATACCACTGCCAGCAGCTGAAGGAGCAGACGGAGCTTTAGGTGTCTGAGATGGTGAGTCTTCAAGTCTGCAAGAGGTAGAAACTGTGTCGTGTCAGTCCAGCATAAAGCATAGGAGCAAGCCGCTTTGAGTCCAGCTCAGCAAACTGAATTAGTCTCAAATTTTACATACTTTATAAATAGAAATATGTTTCAAATAATGATTTTTGGTACATGAGCCGAAAGCTCAGGGTTCAGACCGTTTTCTTCTTCTACATGTGGGTTTGTTTTGTACCAAAAAGACCAGACCTATCTGACATGTTCATCACAGCTCTGGCTGTGAGGACAGCAGCCCCACCCAAGTGATGTTTAAACACTGACATCCAATCAGGGGAAAATGTCTTAAAAGTTGGTTTTAAATGGGAAATATTACAATGGCTTGTTTCAGACAGAAGAAGACGTGAGGGACGCAGTACAAGATAAAAACTGATTATGAAACACTAAAATCACCTTTAGTGGACTCAAAGTGCATATACGGGCTCCCTTTATATATGAAAATATGAAAATATATATATACAACTAGCCTGGATCTCAGGGCATCGTTGATTTTCTGTTCCAGCTCGATGCGTCTGCAGCGCTCCTTTTCTAACTCCTGTTTCAGCGAATCCACATTGGACTCCTCTTTAAGTTTTCTCAGCTCCTCCTCTGAAACAGACAAACACTGGAAGTTAAAAGTGCTAAACTTAGAATAGTGAAACTGGAGCATGACAACATAGGTGACAAACTTTATTTTATTCCTATTAATACGATTAGTATTTTTTTGAGGATGCGGGCACAAATGGCTTATTCACCAAAATCTCTCTGCATGCGTGTCAAATGCGGTCAGCAGGGTTATTAATAGCTCTATGTGTGTGTTACATAAAAGGCCAAATATTGACTGATTACAGAGCGCTATCGGGACTGTACTGGGGGATGTTTGACGCTTACAATGAACTGACAACTGAATCTGTGATGTCGACTCATCAGTTTCTGCAAAGCTGATGGAAGAAAGACTTGAATGACACTTGTTTGAATGCGATTCTGACAAAATCATTTTAACTGATTTAAGTGAGAAGAAAGAGACCTGACAAAAAACCTGGCACCTGGTCTGCTTCGTCTACGTAAATCTGACCTTGCTGAGCTAAAGTTCATTGGTTATCTTTCAAAATAAAACTTGACATATGAAGATAAAATTCACGGAATACTCACGCAAATAGTGCTTCTCCAACAAGGCAATTTCTAAGTGACCTTTAACCTCATTTAAATCTGTCCTGTCATCCAGAGCTGCAGAAAAAGATCCTGGACCAGCCTTAGAAAGAGCAGAAGAAAACATAATAAGCAACATAACATTAAAAAAAGTAAAAATACTGATTTTCTCTGTGTGCTTCTGCACCTGAGCATCACCCTGCGGCTCCACCTCTGCCTCCCTCACCTCCTCTGTCTCTCTGACAGAGGCGCGAGGTTTAATCACAATCTCCTCGCTGCATTCTGTGTCGGATGTGTTGGGCGACTCAGCCAGATCCAGGAACTCATCCCGCCGTCCCCTGAACCGGATCCTGTCCAAACGCTTCAACATGGTGGGCACCACAGAGTCGAGTGTCTACCTGAACATGACTAGCCCCCCAGCTGCAAAGACTAGAACAAAAAAGAACCAATTTGCAAATGCTGCACCACTTATCTGTGGATTTTTTACTGGTCCACAGTGGCAAAAGAGAGAACTGAGTATGAAAGTGAAGCTACCAGTCAATCTACATCCCCACCCTCACCTATGGTCACAATTGGAAAATAAGCTTCCTTCCCAGGATGTCTGGGCTCCCCGTTAGATATAAGGTGAGGAGTTTGATCATTCAGGGCTCAGAGTAGAGCCACTACTTTTCCACGTCAAAAGGAACAGGTTGATATGGTGTGGATATCTGAATAGGATTCCTATTCAGATAGCCGATGTCTGTGGGTTTGTGAGGTGCTTCACAAATCCAGGAGACATGGGCCTCTCGATAATAATAGCAACTTCATTTACATAGTACTTTTCAAACAGTTACAAAGTGCTTCACATGTTACAACATACAGACACATAAACGCATAATCAGCCATACCAACCAGACAGCGGTCAGAGTTATATCTTTCACACAGGCCTCTGGACAGCAAAAGCTACGGCCACCACACACTGCCACGCGATAAACCATTGCGATGCCAACAACGGGCACCGTGGGTAGACGTGGCCTTGAAAAGGTGGAAGATGATGGGCAGCTCTGAGGCATGACTGCATGTGAGCGCCAAAATGCAGCTTTGGGGGCAGTACTAGCAGTAGCAGCAGTAACTGGCAGAGTTAAACGCAGATGCCCGGCTTCTGGACGAGGGAGATGACTTAGGGTCTGTGCTCAAGCCAGGCAGCCAGGAGGAGTGGTGGCGAGGAAGCCCAGGTGGGGACACACCTGTGACAGCCAGTCAGTGAAAGAGCAGCATCCCCATTGGGCAGCAATCCCATCTTCTGAGTCCAAACAGTCCCCAGTGTCGCCAGTCTGAGGGACATCTCCGGTAGCTGGGAGGCAGAAGCATTATCCCACTCTGGACCAGATGGCCACTCAGGCCGTCCCGCACTTGAAAGCATGGTGCATCCACATTTTCCAGTGTGTAAAGTTTGTTCACCAGTTGAATAGCCTCTGGGTATAGATGGAATGGGTGTCACCAGATACCCTTGTTACCCTTTACTAAAACCCATGGCTCTGAGTTGCAGGACATAGAGCAAACTTGGGATTTTGGCGTCGTCCTGAGGATAAGCCACATCTCATCAGCAAAGAACTCTTTAGTCATGTCTGGCATGGAAAACCCATGTAACTCTAAACTCACAGCAGGGCTGCCAATTAAATTAAACCAAGTACAAGGAAACATAGAGACGCACATTTGACACACACTGAACATGTTCGCTTCCGCTCTACTATTAACTCTGATAACTGACCTGTGTGTGAAGCTCCTACAGCACTTAAGTCATCACAGTCTACTGCATGTTTATAAAGGGAGAGTCCACTTCATGCTACTGACATGAAGTCACAAAGTTAAATGTTTGTTTTGGGAGGAGGAGGAACTGTTTCATCATCTGCTCTTTAAAAACAGAACTGGCTGCAGATTTTGTGCCATCTCTTGTAAAACTTGGACTCTTGGTTTATGCTCACCACCAGCTCAGTCAGATTAAAAACTGGGATTTAATTCCATGTGACTCATATTAATTATACAAATGTACACCAACATTATGACCAACCGACTCAGTATTCTAACGTTGTGTCTGGACAGTGTAAGAACCGTACTGATCCAGAACTCAGCTTTTAATCAGCCCATCATTTTCTTGATTAATCATTTAACTTCTATACCTATTACACATCATAAAACACATCATTTAAACATGAAGACTTCAAGTTTACTACCTACTAATTGATAAACTGACTAATCATTTTGCCTGGCTCAACACTGACTGTCTTATCTAAGCCATAGACATGTTTCTGTAAATGTTTAAGCCGCTAATTATGATCCGGGTCCATTTGTTACTTTTGAAGCCAAAGAAGATTGTCGATATGCTTTTAAAGAGAAATCAAATTTGACATTTACCTGTAGTGAAAATATGTGTCCATCAAAATATGTCTGCTATGCAGGAAGAAAACACAATTAACTGGGACTTTGTTGTTTCTATAAGAAGGAAGCCCAAGAACATCCATCCATCCAACCTCTTCCACTTTTTAATTAATATAAAAAGGGAAGACTGGAGCTTATTCCAGCTGTTCCAGGGCAACCGCACAGAGACAGACATCTGCACACTGACATTCACAATCTAGACTCCCGATTTCACTTCACATGCATGTCTTTGGAGAGTGGGAGGAAGGCAGAGAGAAGCCACCCTACCACAGAAAAACATGCAAGCTCCAAACAGAAAGTTGAGAGAGTAATCCTTCAGAGTTTTTGTACTCTGAGCACTAACTGCACTCTCTTCACACACATATTCATATAAGCACTTTTATCGATATCTAAGCACTCTGACTAACATTAACACACAAGGATGCACTGGGGGTAACTCGGGGTTCAGTATCTTGCCAAGGATTGAACATGAAGACTGAAAGAGCCAGGAAGTGAACCAACAACTTTCCAGTTGGTAGACAATGCACTATATTTTTCATGTTTGTTATTTATTCCTGCTGTCTTACTATTCATATATTATTCCTGGCCAGTTGGTGTGGAGCACCCACAATTTCACTGCACATATAGAACGACAATAAAGGGCTATTCTTTGCTATTTTCCACTGAGTGATGTGATTGGTAAAAGCTATTAAATAATCCAGTGAACCAAAGACATAAGAAAATGTGGTCCTAAGTCTGACTGGTTGTAAATCACTGCTTGAAAATCTCCATGTAGCCAAAATCAAACTAAAATTTACTCCGTTTTTGAAGTGGTAAGGTACAAACACACATCAGCCTCTTTTCCATTTCAGGGTCCCAGAGCAGCTGGAGTATATCATTGCTGTCGGAGGATCAGAGGCACCCTGGACAAGTCACTAATGGGCCAACAAAGTATCAGCCATCCACATTCAGAATGTTCCAATCAGAATCTCCAGTTTTCCTAACATGCCTTTCTTTGGACTGTGTGAGGAACTCAAGCAGACATCAAAGAAGTATAACAGGAATGAGCTATCAGCTCATTCCTGTAGCTCTGTATCAGCAACAGAAGAATAATCTAGGCTTTACTGTGAGGCAACAGTGGTAACCACCACACCACTCTGCCACCAAGGAGTAACACAGTTAAATCCCACACAGCTTTGCTTCAGCTGATTTTTTCTCTTTTAAAATGCAAACATCTAATAAAAAGTTTTAAACTTAATAACAACAATTTTAAAGCATATTATTCTACATGTAATATTAAAATATAATATAATAATATTCTAAATCACCTGCAATAATGCCAAAGCTCAGCCCATGATGTGAAGCACTACCCTCACAGAAATCTAAACTGAAACCAGAACCTCCTGTGTGTGATCACAACACACGAACGTCCTCAGCAGAAGTTACAGCCCTGCTCTAAACTACAGCAATGGCTGAAGGTGTGTTCAGCCTGAAGATCACCGAGCAGTCCGACTGGTCTGCCTGCTTCTGTTGGTTACTGTCTGAACAGGCAGTACTGACTGCATAATAACTGACAGACAAAGGCACTGACTGCTGTCTGGGAGCCTCTAATTATTACCGCACAGATTAGCACCTAACAGAAAGCAGGAGCAGAAACAGACTTTTTCTGACCTTTTGTAGGTAACACAGAGATAAATTTAACACCTTTGATGCTATCCAAAAGATGAGATTATAAAGGAAATCTGTTTGGAGTGATAAAGCCTAGATTTATTTATTATGACATCACATTTTTCAGTACTTCTAATCAACGTGACCTGACCTGGATAAGCAGTAGAAAAATTAATGGATCAACCCATAATTCCTATTCACTTCAACCTAGTGTTTCCCATGGATGTGGTTATTTTGTCTCTAGGGGACACTTTGCTAACTATGTACTCTGCACCTTCTTTATAGATTTTCACAGGAAAAAGTAAAGGTGTGACCAGAAGATTTCATGTGCTCATAATAGGCATGAAAGTCATGTAATTCGTGGCTTTTGATGATTTCTTTGAAATGTCCTTTTTGCGTAATGGAATGATAATGCAGCATTCATCTTTAATTACTTTAAACAAAATTAGGTGCACAAATTTACATTTATTTTGGAGCTTCTGTAATCTACACAGGATCAAAAGTATGCATGAAGGCTCAAGTAGACGGCTACTCTTTTGGAAGTCAACAGAAAATACAATGAGCCCTCTTTATGTGTTATTTTTATTATCTTATTGCCCCGTGACCCGGGAAAGGATAAGCAGAAGCAAATGGATGGATGGATGATATTTCATTATCTTATATATTCGATTATTTTGTTGAAATGTAACAGTAATGTAAAATGAATTCATTATTATTTTTGAATTCTGCCAACAGAGATATAATCAAATCCTGAGAAAATGATTTCCTTCCTAATCTTCCTGTTAAATTCATCTCATGCAGCACTTACAGTGTAAGTATTGTTTGTTAATAACCACCATCCAACTCTGTAAAAGAAATCTACTTCCAGCTTCCCCTAATGTGAATTGATTTCTTTAATGTGCTTATCGGCACCAAGTCTTATGTTCAGCGATAACAATGCAAACTTTTTTTAAGCTCCTGATGGAAAAGGATTTCCCCATTACCATGCAAATAGATTACATATTATCTTGTTAATAATATTTTACACATATATCGAAATGTATAGAAATGTTTTGATGATGAAAACAAATCGGGAATTTATTTTTCCATTATCCTACATTATATCCACTCACTTGTGGCCTGAGATTAAAGTTAAAGGGTATGAATCATGAAATCTAAATGGAGGCGTCGTGACACGGTGTAATCTAGTCCTCAGTTCATTCTGTGCTTCATAGGCAACCGAGTTGGCCATCATGTGCTAATCAACTGGACAGCACACGATATTGTCTGGTTGTCGCAGATTGCTTGGATGGGTGGCGTTTTGTTTTGTCAAGCTTTTGAATTGTTTGTCCCTCTATTAAACCCACTTCACTGTGGACAGTGACACTGGTGTTCCAGCAGTTTCCAGTACATGCCAGGCATGAGACGTGGTATTTCCGGGCTGGTCCCTGAACATCCAAACCAATTTCCTGCATTCTGAGAGTAACAGACAGAACAGGCTGCCCTCCCAGAACTTTGCAAATAATCGATAGATTTTCAAAACCATGAGGAAGATTTTGACTCGTAGCAATGGTGATGAAGTCATATCTCGAAAAGTTAACTTGATCATTTTCAACTAATTTTCCTAATCAAAAATTTGATTTAAGAAAATAAGTATTTAACATCAAGTTTAGAGATTTCATTCATTTTTAAAATTATTTAAAGCATTTGATTAATTTCATTACTGATCATGAAGGTAAATATATTTTAGAGCCCATTAAAAAACAAAGGGTACAACAAACTACACAATACCTAACATGTAAATCGTTTTATTTTTGTAGAAGAATAAAATGTGCTCCTCCTCAGTGTGCAGCAGTTTGATCTGGCAAGTACTGTAAGTGCCCATTAACAGAGTCTTCTCCTCTTCTAAAATTGTGTGGTCCTTTCAGCCTGACTGAAGTCAACCTTAACAACATTCCCATCCCAACGCTCAAAGAGATCTTTGAACTGATGAAAGGAAACTCTCACGTGGAGTTTCCCAGTTTGGGGTCAAGAGCCAGACACACTCTCCACTTTTAAAATTAGTCTTAAAACTTGTTTTTTTTTTTTTTTTGATAAAGCTTATAGTTAGAACTGGATCAGGTCACCCTCAACCATTCGTTAGTTCTCCTTCTAAAGGCCAAGCTTGCTGATAGAGCTCCATTTCTTTTCCACAAACTTTTTTTCACTCCCCTGGTGTTTATATACTACTGCTCTGTGTCATTAAATTGCATCTTCTGTCTACCATAGTGTGTTTCATCTCTCTTCTCCTTCTATTCATGCCACAGCTAGTCACAGCAGTTGGCTACTCCTCCCTGAGCCTGGTTCTGATGGAAATTTCTTCCTGTTAAAAGGGAGTTTCTTTACTACTGTCGCCAAGAATAAGTTCAAGGGTTAAAAAGCTACAAATTACTTCTATCTAATAAAGTATTTTTTATATCATCATCAAGTTTCATTCCAGTCTTAAAATGACATTCTTATACCCTTTAAGACAAGTTTCAAGGAAAATTAAATAACTCCTTTACTACACTGAAGGGTCTAAGTAACAATCATGTAATTATTAATTGGACTGTTGATTATTTTCTCTGTTAATGATTTTTTATATCATATACAGGGATAAAAAACAAAACAAAAAAACAGCCCCAAACAGGTGCAGTCCAAAACCAAAACCAAATATTCATGTTACTATCTGTATAACAAAGGAATATGACAGATTTGCACATTAGAAAGTTGAAAACAAGTGCTTTGTGCAAATGACTACAACAATAATTTAATAAGAAAAAATAGCTGCCTGGTAGTTTAGTACCCATGTAGTATATTAAATTACTAACTCGCTGTCTAATTAAGTTTTTTAAGACTTCCCATTACCCTCCCACCTTAATGTGTGACAGCCAATTAGCTGCAGTCTACAGAAAGCGCACCGGTCGGTCCGCGGAGCACAGGTTGGGCACACCTGGACACTCCAGAGAAGATGTAAAGAGAATCCTAACAGTGAAGTGCGAAGAAAAGAAGCAAAGGGCGAAGAAGCGTCTCACCATGAGAGCAAAGATGAAGCAAACTTTCCCTTCTTTCTGTTTTTCCCGGCGATCCAAGCCCACTGGAAACCGGGTCAAACCCGCTCCTGAGCCGATGTAAATCGGACCAGAATCCACTGAGACACGCTCCACGCCTGTCTCTCTCCTCCGTCCTCACAATTAATCCAGATGTGGGGGCCTGTGAGGGTGTTTAACCGGACCGCGTTGCTCCATCGGACACAATAATCACTTCTGTGGGCGGGGTGAGCAAGCGGCACCCTAAGAAGGAAGTGACGCCATCACGCTGTCCTCGTTAAACCTACGTCGAGGCGGAACCAAAACTCTGTTCTTCGTTTCTGGGGGGATTTAAACTATATTCATTTGAGTTTTTGCTGTAGTGACGGCGAGCAGGTTGGGGCATTCAAGTTAAAAAACACAAAACAATCGAGATGGTCTCCACAGACCAGAAGACCGACGTGAAAGAGGTAAGACTCACTCGAGGAAGTATATTTAACATTTGCATGTCCAGACAGGTAATGCCACAAATTCACCTCCCACCCAACTGCAGCACTAGAAATATCTCATTGTACTGTATTATATCTGTTTCTTCTAAAAGTGTTTTCCACCGGACAAATGAACACGTATTTTAGTGCAGTCTCTGACCTTTAAAGCGTTGAGGTAAATGTATATGTCGTTTGATATACAAAGGTGTTCTAGGATTTCCTGGCTTCTGAGTGGCTGGTGAAGTGTCAGTAGGGCTGTACACGGGAAGTGTTGGTGAAATTGCGAAGAGTAAAGGTGTTGCTAAGAAAGTTGTCCGCCTGCATCTTGCTGTTTCTAATAGTTCAGAGATCCAGAACCACATTACGAACCCTTACGTTACATATAAATGCACCACATAAATGTACTTCGTTAAAATCGAGTTTGAAACTTGGGATTCAAGTCATATTTTTCATTGTTATTTATTTTTTGTACTTTGTGAGTGAATGAATAAACGAATGCCGGACCACCTTATAAAAATGGAACATATGCACTCTGTCATTATTGTTGTTGTTATTATTTATTTTACTTATTGTTCAAAATTTCTACGTCTTGTAATAAAGGCTTAAATCACAGATCAAATTAATAACCATATAAAAACAAAAACAAAAATTAAACTAATTCTGCAGTGACAGTGAGGAAATGTTAGCATGGTGCTTCCCTACATACATTTATATATATATATATATATCTATCATTATATATAAAACATCGGTTCAACAAGTTGATACTTTGAAATATTACAGTACTTGTCAAAAGTCTTGAGCCAGCCCTTGTTTCTTTAAAATGTTCTTGTTAAATGGAAAACGGGTACAGTGGTTCATGGAAATGTGCAGAATATTCTAAATAATGACTTTATAAAGAACGTCAGTATTTGGTATGACCATCTTTTTTCCCCCTATAGTCTGAACTTTTACTCATCAGGAGGAACGTCTGTGACCTGGTCAGCTAATCTTTGCTGTTGCCAATAGTCCGTACCAGAAATACTACTTGTTTAATCTGATTGTTAATACAGTTAAGCAGCACGACTGATTACTGAAAGATAGTATTCATCTTTTCCAATGACTATGTCTAATGTGTGTTTGACATTAATCAAGGCTAAGCTTTAACTTGGTATCTGAGTGTGTGTTGGTTTTAGACTAGTTGGTTAGTCCATTCTTTTTAACGTCCCTAGTCTTCGGGACTAGTTCTGCAGGCTTCTTCAAGAACATTCAAAGCTCTCCTTTGGATGTTGGCTGCCTTTTGTTTGGTTCTCTGTCAAGATGATCCTCCAGTCCATGGTCAGTCTGTGACTGATGGTGCTTTACTGTGTTTTTCAAACCCGGAATGGGAGTGTTTGGGTTTATTGGCATGCTGCAAAATGAAGCAGCTGTCAATCAGACACTTGCTAGATGGTTTTGCACAGAGGATTGAAATCTAACGGTTCTTTGCTATCTTTATAATTCAGTCAATTCTCACACACTACTGGCTTTAGAAATCATGGAGAACTATGGCTCAAGATCATTTTAAAAATGACCAAGTTTGGCTTCAAAATGTAAAGAATTTGGTCTTCAAGTGTTAAAACCAAGTGTTTAAATGTGTTTAAGATAAGTTGTTGTTATGGTAACTAATCTTAAGATAATATTGACTGTCCTTTTCTTTTAAATTATATTTAAAAAAAAATCCAAAAATGAACTCTGAACGTCTCCTAAATCTCCTCGTCCCCTCTCCTGGTGGCTAGTTCCAGAACCCATATTGTGCATTGAGGTGAGCATTAAAGGAAACCAGCCCAAAACTCAGGCGTAGGTCAGTAAACTGAAAAGTTAAAAAAAAAAGTTTAGTCACCGAACACAGCTCACTAGCTGCACCCACCAAAAACAGCTATCTGGCACCAGAGCTCATCTTTCTCTGGCCTTAAATACCTTTAATTGCTGATAGGAGTCCTAAG